ATGTCTTAAAATGTGAAAACTTTTTAAACTGTTATTAAATGAAATAATAAAGAATAGTAAATAGTTATTAAAAATTTATTTTTGGTGCATGGGATTTATTTTCATTGCATAAATTAATTTTATAATTGTGTACAAGAAATTTTCGATTGCTTGAAAAGTTCTCGAGATACAGTGAAATAAGAAAAAAGTAAAATTAACACAAAGGAGTCCTAACTTTCGCTCGCTGCCTGACCAAACTATTGGGACCACATTTCCAACTCTGCGATGATCCCTACACTTATTTTGAGGGTCAAGAATCTAAGTCCATCGAAAAAAAAGGTAAGTTTATTCTTAGAAATAACGGTTTTGTGTTGGATTTCGTAACTTAAAATATGGTTTGCAATAATTGATATTTAACGTTAGGCCCTCGAACCATTAAGATTGAGTCTCAGTATTTGAAAACCCGATCATTAAATCAAAAGTTATTTCTGGGTGTTCTTTTTTTGGGGGGGCACAATACTGCCTTTTTCTATGACATGCTACAAAAATAAGATTCATAAACCATCAAGTTACCTTTTTGCAATCAGTAACGTAACTCAAAACTGAAATAATTGATCATTGCTAAAGCTTGAAAAATAAACTTTAAAAAAAAATAGTTCACCATTCCAAATAATGAAAAAAGAAAAAAAATTCCTTTTTTTTTGTTTGAAAGAGGAAGATTGTCAACCCAACGCAAATGGCTGGAAAGTACGCCAAAAATTTTATGTTGAAATATGCAATAAGCTTTAAAACATCTCCCCTCAGGAATTTTTCTTTTTATTTCTCCTGCAATTTTATTAGATTAAAAGAAAGTACTTAAAAGAATGCTGAGATAATGGTGCTGTGTTAGGATACAAAAAGAAGCTCAAGTATTGATTTTCAATATGAACAGGTAAATATGGTGTTTTTTATTAACATAGCATCTACTATGATGTTTGCTAATCAATAAATTTCACAAAGAAAGAAATTCTCATTATTCCATCTCAAAATAGCTTAACTTTGAAATAGGGTCAGAATTTTGAAAATTACCTCAAAAATAAGTTTTCGTCTAGGTCGTAGAAAAAGAATTCGCAATTTAAAACAAGTAAGTTAAGAACTGCTGCATACTTGAAAATAAAATAATAAACAAATTTGTTGATATTTACACAAAAGTTTTATAGAATTGCATATTTTGCTTGTTTTCTATTGTACAGATGTGCTATAGCCGCTCATTTTTGCATTGATTTTTTTATTTACTAATTTTTTTTATCTTGCTGATTTATACTAAACGATTTATACTAAAAGCTGATTTGTGAACAAAATATTTTAATAAACGCCCAAATAGAAAAAATTAAGAAAATTTATAAAGTAAACTTCTAGCTGAGCAACCCGCTCGTCAGATTATTAAACGAGTTTTACAGCAAAAACTATACCAGAATAATGTCTAACATAAAAATCTTTATGATCCCACCATACACTTCATTTTCTCTCAATGAAGTTTTTTACAACTAAAACTTATCACCTGATACGAGATTTGGTTAGTATGCTGCCGAACAATACAAAAATAAACATGAGCGACAAGAAATTCAAAACTTAAATTGCATGGTAAACTGCTTATTGCGAAAATGTTTTTTTTTAAACAGTATTTTGAAATTTTATTTTAGAGTTGATTACTTTAGCATTAGAAAAAAAAATAATCGAGCCACTTTTCGCCAAATCTACCATAAAGCACGTTGTTTTTTCAATTGCACGCAGTATAATTGTTTGGTGTGGTAAACTTCAATATGAAATTCACCTGAAATGGGTAGATGCATTTTGTTTTTTTTCAACGATTCGTTTTCAATTCTGAGTTTCTATGTAAATATAAAACATGTGTGGGTAGCAGTTTTAATCCGATAGCGGTAGTTCCAAGTGGCAAGAATGTTGGTGGAAAAATGGAAAAATATCTAAAAGATAAAACGTCGATTTTCTTTTTATACTAAGAGAGAAATTATTTTTTTATCAACTGCTTTTCGGAATATAATGTGCAATGTACTACTAAAACCATATCAACATTTTGTCAAAATAAACAAAAACAAAAATTTTTCTTAAAATTACAATGGTCAAAAAAAGGGACTTTAAAAATGATTGCTGATAAACAATTTTGAATTAGCCAACTAACCACTCGTTTAATTTTTAGATAAAAAAAAAAGTTAAGCATTTTTTTGTCAAAATTTTTATCTGACCTAGCTTCGTAGGAATCCTACTAGTAAATCATTTTTAAGTAAAAAAATCTTTTTGATTGACAGTTACACAATCTTTCTGGCCCTTCCAGTCAAGTCAAAAGGAAGGTAAGTTTGACCTTCAGATTACCTGGAATTTTTGAGATCAAAGATCCCCAACCACCCTATCCCAAAGGAAACGCTACACTTTTCCCGGGCGTGACCTACCCAACCCGACACACTAGTGCTTGCTTCCTGAACAACTGGTTTCAGATTAATGCTATACTTCTCTGACAACGGACAAAATTACACAGCTGTAATTTAAACTTTTCTTTCAAGACATAATGCTTGCTCAGGATTTAAAAACAGAAGAAAAAAAATTCATGCTTGTAAGATTCACGACTAAAAATTGAAGAAATATTTTCATAATAAAAGTAATTTTTCAAAAAGCACTTTCTTACTGGTGTGTTGGATATTATGACTGCAAAGCAAAATTTCTCATGGGTTGATATTAAATAAAGTAGAATAAATAAAAACTTTCTACTTAATGTTGTAAATCTTGGAAATATGTTCATTTAATCTGTTTTCCGTAATTAATAACACACTAACTGTTATGTACAGAACCATAGTAAGGGTATTTGCACAGGGCTCCGCATTCCAAGAACTCAATTAATATTTAAAAAAATAAATATTTTACAAATTTCAAAGTTACTTAAGTTTATTTTCAGAATTGAAAACTTTGTTTATAACTTTATATAGAGGAAATAGAAAAAGAAGAAGTGTCAACACTGTCCCCCAAACTCAAAAAACTTCATATAAATCAAATTTTATAAAATCAAAAAACAAAATTTGCTTAAACATTTTTGGATAATTATTTAAGTAAGACACTAAAAGACATGATTTCTCCCTTCTAAAGACCTCTCTAATAATGTGCAACTTTAAAAAAATAAAATAAAAAGGTATGGATTTTGAAGAAAATAAAATTTCAAGCGGCTCATTTTAAGGAATGAAGTTAAAAAAAGAAAAAAAAATCAGTAATGTCAGAAAAAATTTAAAAATCCTAATGAATTCTTTTCCTTAGCACAGCGCGAAGAGAATCATATAGAGTTCGAAGCATGTGATTAGAGGGAAATACTGATTAAAATGATCCCGAACTTCGACAAATACATTTGACAGCAAAAGATAAAAGTTAAAACTCTCTGTCACAAGTGCATAGTTTTGACTGGGTAGTCGATAGGGCAATTGAAACTGCACAGCCTTTTAGTTTGTTACAATATCTTAGAACACAGGACTTAATTTTTTAAATAATAAATCGATGGAAGAAAATATTGGAATTGTCCTGGGTTTGGTATAACGATGATAATCTGTTACTGTGACAGGAATCTTCTATGAACTAAGATTTTTAAGTTTCCTTTTTAAACTGAATTATTATACTACTGCAAAATAAAAGATTTTTTTGTTACAAATGTAAATAAATTTTATAAGTTTTAATTTAAGTTATACTTGGGAATCAATTTTATAAATTGACACTACATTTTAATTTTTGATAAATTGACATAGTGTGAAAAATAAATCCAAATAAAATTTGCTGAAAATCAAATAGTTATCAAAAGGAACTAAAAATCTCGCAAAAAAATCCTACAAAAATATAGAAACTAGACTTTAACTACAGACACTATAAATTTCATGACAATTAACTGATGATCATAATTTAAAAGTTATAATTCATACGGAATCATTGTTAAAAAAAATCAATCTAGCAATAGTTTTTGCTTCAAAATGTTAAATTGCAATAAACTTTAACGAAAAATATAGATAATTTAATCAGCTGATAAACTAAGTAAAAATTTCATGAAGAATTGAAAACAAAGAATTTAAACAAATAATAAAAAATAAAATAAGGATACCAAATTGAAAATTTAGGTATTATTTATATATTATTCACGATTAAGTTATGATCAAAAACAATTGAACAAAAAAATTTAAACATTTAATTGATAACGCAGATTTTAAAAAAATGCCGTTGAAAGTTTGATATTTCATGGAAAAATATCAGTATACTTAATAAATAGTAATACATATCAGTATATAAATAAAGAAATAGCAATTAGAAATAGCATGGTGTTTCTTTTAATAATAGCTGAGTTAATTTGTGATATGAGCTTACTATTTCTTGTTTTGTTTTGAATATTTTATTTTTATTAAAAAAAATGCTATGTTTATTTGTCTTGAAATTTTATTAAACACTATTCATTTATAAAATGAAGCCATAGGCAATTTAACTAACGAAAAATGATTCATCGGAAGTTATTATCATTGTGAATTTGTAGAGGAATAGAAAACTGTTAACACTTAATATCTAATTTGTTTTAAAAGTATATTATGTCTTGTTAACTCATTTCAGCGATCATAGCACAAAAAGCTTGCAATTTATTCGAATAAATAATGAAATTAATTTATAATATAAAAACACTTATTTGCATATTGAAAACCACTCTAGTCATCAAAGTTCCAATAAAACTAATATAATTTAAGTTTTGAAAGAAAAAATAATTTTTTTATTTGCAACATTCTATAAAGCTCGATGCAGTTTGACAGTTGTCATTTAACAAGTTACGAAATTAAATAGGTAAAATCACTTATACTGAAAGCATCTGTAGGTAGAACAATTTTAACCTATGGTTTTTAAAAACAAATACCATATAGAGATTTTTTTGAAAAAAGTTTTCTTTTTGTTTTTGAAAATTGAAGCACATTTATATAAAAACAGAATAGATGAAGAAAAGAGAAAAATAAACATACCTAATAGCAGTGTAAACCTATGAACATCCTATGTCACAAACCAGGTAGAAATTGATCGGTTAAGTTATTCTGTGAATTGAAGTATAATAATCCTCGTAGCAATTTCACGTCATATTCACTTTGAAATCGCACTTCTTGTCACTAGATTTAACACGTTCTGTTTTGCAAATTAAGCGTCACGCGTTTTTAAGTGAAAAAGAAAACAAAGAGCGCCAGTAAGTTACTTTTGCAGTGCTTGGTTTTTGTGATTTTCACCGCAGGCTACGCTCACAGATAGCAAATTCGGTCTGCAGCATTTAGAGAGAGAGTTAGATACTGCTGTGCGTGCCCAATAGGGTTGCTGTGTTTACAATGCAAGCGTTATTTCTCTCGCCAAATCGAACAGTAGGAATACCGCCAGAGGGATAAATAATGTTTTGGTAGTTATTCATTGTATCTGTTATTTGAAATTGTTACGGGCATTCCAACTTTATTTACTTTTTCTTTTTGCTCTCAATATAGGTAAATTATTATTGCTCTCAATATAGGTAAATTAATTTTTTTTAAATAAAAAATTTAAATATAATTTTTATTTCTCATAAAAATATTTTAAATTAAGTTGAATTTAAAATATGAATTTTAATATTTTTTTTTCTTCTTTAGAATTTTTTCTTTTTAAAATATAAATTTTAATCCAATTTTTTTTATCACGATTAATGGGAGTCGGTAGTTACTTTCGGTGTACCTTTTCTCAGCATCTAAATAAGATATTGTTTCCGTTTTTTTTTTCACAGAATATTTACATATACATGTTTACACTATGTTAACTGTTATTACATATTTTTGGCCCAAATTTTTTTAAAAAAAATTATGAACTGAGAACTTTTAATTTTTTAAAAAAGTTTTGTCATCAAAAATCTTTCATAACTCAAAAAGTATTCCAGCTAACGTTGAAATATTATCGCAGAATACAACTGATATAATCTCAAATATCCCCAAAATATTTCATATGTAGTTTTTTAGAAAAAGTACATCGAAAAAGGTCAGTTTTAGCAATATTGAAATTTGTCCCACCGACTCCTCTTAACTTCGTAATAAAATAATTCAATTATAAAAACATAAAGAGAAAAAAAAAACATAGAAATACATACGATGAGGTTAAAACATCATTCAAATTTTCATCACATATGTTTCTCACCCCCTGTTAGAAATTTATATATTATTAAAAATAAAACTAACTTTAAATTAATTTCTAACTGTCGTTGAACAGTCAACTCAATTCTAAGTTTATAACTATCAAATTCCTGAGCCTTTCATTTTGAACCCAACCCAGAAGACAAGGGAACTCAAGGATCAAGCATTGGGACAAACCAGCCTTTGAGGATGGATTTTTAATGGAACTAACCAGCATTTGCGCTACTTGGAGAGGAAACAAACGAAAACCACTCCACGGTAGCTCGAAAGCAAGATTAATCTAGCCCGTGATCTGATTTTTACCACTGAGAATTTTTTATATTAGCACTGTGATAGGTGCGTGCCGGGAACAGAATTCTTATCAATCAACCACCGCTGGGATTCGAACTTGGATCATCTCATTTGGAGGCGAACGCTCTATCCCTTGAGCGACCGCGGCTCAAATAGAACTATTATATAAGTCTCCGGAAAATTATTCATTTCATTTTAGAAATTTCAAATAAAAACAGTAAGACAAAACTTATCGTGTCGTAGATTTTAAAGAGCTGAATTTCAATGTTATTTGTTCTGAGCTGGTCACTTTAAGGATTAATTAGTTATCTCCTCAGTCCCAGGGAAAATTTAACCCATTTTTTAAAATCTGTGTTGGTCTAAAAAATTAAGTTTCATTAGGAAGTTTGTAAAACTTATCTCTATTCTGTCCATTAAACGTCTAGCCATTACTTCAGAAACAAAATGTAAATTTGACTGACAAGGCATTAAAAAAAATAATAATGAAAATAAAATAGAATTCAGTTTCTGAGAATACGTCACAGTTTTAAACAATAAAATTCGCAATAACTATTTATGTCTAAGAAATGTAAGTGTCGAGGTAAAATTAGTAAAATTAATTTCCAAGCTGTTTCTTAAATATCATTAAAAATAGCCAAGATTTCCTTCCTTAATCAGTCTCTTTAACTCAGAATTTTTATTAAACATATTTTTTATACTTTTTTCCTTATTTTGCACAAATTTAGGTCAAAATAATTGAAAAATATTATAGTTAGTGTTTTATTATTATGAAAATTGAAAACGGCTATGAAATACAACAAGAAACACCGGTGTCTCTTTCTGCGTTGAAAGTAAAATATTCCAAGCATGGCTCATTTCCAAATAATAATTTTTCAAGACATACATTGCATTCATACATTGCATATGTACATATCTACCTATATCGTTCGAGCATACGTATAGCTAGATCCTAAGCTTTATGCATGTATGTAAGTGTGTTTCTACCTAACTTTAAGAATGAACGCAATGTATGCATATTAAGTGAGCAAAATAAAAAATGGAGTACCTTGTATAACTTATGATTCAATGAATGTATTGTAATGTACTAGGTCTCAATCTTAATGGTTCAAGGGTTCGACTTCAGATATGCTAATTAATTTGAACAGACGATATTTAGGCGATTATTAAGTTACGAAATCAGACAAAAAAATTACTTCTTGTATAAGAAGCATACCGTTTTTTCAATGGATTGAGATTTTCAATCCTTAAAATGGAGGAGGGGGTAGCAGCTTTCTGCAAAATATGGTCCTAATTGTTTAGTCACGCGAGCGGTTGAAAATGTGAACCCATTGACGTTAATTTTACTTTTTGATTATTTCGCCATATTTTGAGAAAATTTTAAGCGAATTGAAATTTTCTTTTCGAAATTATAAAATTCGTTTGTCCAATAAATTTATCCAATAAAAATTCCTAGACTCAGCCCTAATTTTTCCAAACTAATTTGATCGAATTTCCCTGATCTTTTTTTAATGGTGACTTGATTTTGATTATTAATTTTTCAATTATACATTTCTCTTTCACATAAAATATATTGTAAAACACTTCTGTTTGCCATTAGAATTGCATTAATTTTAAAAATTTACTAAATGACCATTTTTTAAGAAAAAATCTTCCATTTTAATGTACAGCGGGCAAAGAAATAAACAGCCACCCTAAATAGCTTTTGATCTTTATGGTTCAAGGGGGTGAACTTAAATATGTTAATTAATTCGTGCAAACTATATTTTAAATTCAATTTTATATATAATATTCAATTTATATATATATATATATATATATATATATTCAATTTTATATACAATATTATTTCAAGTTAATACCGAATCAAGCTTTCGCACGCATTTTAAAGAGTGTATGAAATTTTTAACTCCAATAAATGAGAAAGCTTACACCAAGATTAAATGCATTTACATCACTCATGAATTACTTCCGTCAATTTTTCATTGTTATAAAAGGCATGTATGATTTAGTTTCATAATAACGATAGTTATATTCTTATAAGAAGATTTATATAAACCTGCTAATTGTATAAAAATTTTTTATAACATTTAACTTCTATGAGCTTCGATTTGCTTAAGCCTAGTTCGTTTTCATATTTACATTCTCTCTGAGCTCTGTATATGTCTTATTAGCAAATTAATTTTATTTTAAGAATTATTGTACATAGGCATCCAAAATTAATAATTCTCACCTTATATTGTGTCATAAAAATAACTTTACTTATTCTTATGTGTGTCATATCTTACAGTAATTATAAATTTTAGTGCAACTGGCGAATAACAAAAATGGTGGTGGCTTCTTTATTCTAAGTAGTATAAAAGAACAGTCTTGGTGTTTTATTACACCAGGAACTATCTTTGGTTCTTGGTGCAGTGAATCACTAAGATCCAAGAGTTATGTATGGTATTTCTATACAACATTATTGTGCAAAGTAGTTGACACCATTTTTGGTGTTTTGATACGCTAAATATTTTTATATTGTAGTCATGCATGTTATGCAAATCAAACTCTTAAGCACTTTCAAGTAAAACAAACTCTTACGTATAATATTATGTAAAACTAACTTTTATGTACTCTTGTATGAAATTTTTTTTTTAAGTAATCTTATATGAAACAAATTCTTGTGCACTCTTATGCAAAACAAACTCTTATGTAATCTTATGTAAAACTACCTCTAGTGTAATCTTATATTATACAAACTCTTATGTAAAACAAATTCTTATTCTTATGAATTCTTATGAAATATCTAGCTATTATTGGATTGTAAAGTTTTGTATAATTGTTCAGCTAAAGTTTACAAAATTTACCTGAAATTCGAAATTTCAAATTTATTCGATTAAGCCCTGTGCAAAATTTTTCTTATAGTAAAAATAATACATTCAATATTTTTTATATAGTTACTCTTTAAACTTTTAAGATATATTTTTTCAGTGTAAGTAAATGTTAATTATTTAAAATTAATTTTCCTCTGATTTTAGTTGACCTTAGCTGAATTATAGGTTAAGAGATTAGCTTAAGATATAATTACATATTTTTTTAAATCTATAATAGAATGAAAAAGAATAGAATGAATCATTTCATCACGTAATTATAACAATAATTAATATGATTTTTCCAACTATAATCATCTCTATTTATTTACGTAACTTAAATAAGAAAGATATTACAAAAATTAATGACTAAACTTTTAACCGATAAAAATATGTATCTTTCTGTAAAAACATGTAGCTACTATTTCAAGGTTAACCACATGCTTTTGAAAAAAACTTTTATATGAAGAAGTTGAGGTCATTTAAAGTTCATTTATTCAAATTTTCAGCTGTTATGAGCTTTTACATAAAATATTTCTGAGAAACCATCGTTAATATTCATATTTTATATTAATGACTCTCTTTTTTAACCAATAAAACTTTTTGTATGCATAGCTTTGCTTAAAGTTTTAACTGCAGTTTTACTTCGCTTCGATCTGTACAGCATGTTCTGCTTTTTTTTGTACTATACTTGTTTTCAGAAAAGTTTTTATGTATTAAGAAATTGCATGATTAAATGTTAACTGCTTTCTATGTTTTACGTTTTATTCTTACTAAAAACAGAGCAATAAAAGAGCATTTTTATTATTCTTTTGAACTTATCAGTCATGAATTTAAGATTTGTTAAAAAAAATTATTACATTTTGAAATTGTATTTTACAGACTACGATTGTCCGCAGTTTGGACATTATGTGTTCAATTAGTTCGTAAATTTAATAGTTAAACAAAGAAGATGCAGCTAAATGATATCATCCTCACTTTACAAGTTATTTTTAACCGTGTTTTGAAATTTTTTTTACGTAAGA